ATCGACACAACACTGGAGTCAACTCTGGAGGCGTTGTGTGCGATAGAATCGCTGAAGCGTCCTTCTCAGCGCTTCTACTGTTTGTTTGACTCTTGAGAAACCAGATTATTGGGCGGTTCTCCCTATTACACTGGCACAAGATATCGATGCATCTTGTACCGACGTCCACTCGTCCATATTTCATGCGTTAACTCTGGAGGCAGTGCCTGCTCTACCACAAATGCAATTTATGTGACACCTTCTTTGCCTGGCACAGCTTCCTCAATAACAGAATTTTAGATTATTAGCGCTCGGCTGGTCTATCGTCTGCAAGGATACGAATGTCAAACAAATACTGGATATGTTTTTTTCACAACCGCCGCGACCAAGTCCAGCTTAAGGCAGATCCTACGCCATTACCGAGGTCTTTTAAAGATCTCAAAACGAATGCCATTGTATTCCAAACCGTTCTGTTAATAAGCCTCCATTTACTATTCGACATATTGAGGTGTAGGCCTCCGAGGGCGGATAATGAGTTGGAATACCGTCCAAAAGAACCGTCAAGCTACTCTCACAGACAAAAAGTGACCTTACTGCTACCACAAGTGGAATTAACTTAACTTTATTCTACCACCGTGGAATATGGAATTGTGCAGAAATGAAAAGATCCTTGTGATGGAATTGAGAAGTCACTTGAATTCAGACAGGAAATTTTGTGCAATGACACTCTCATACGAGCAATAACTGGGATTGCTAACGCCCAACGAACACATCCTCACAGCTGATATTTTGCCTTTTTAACAAACTTTGACATATTTTGATTAATAACTTCATTTCACTGGATTTTGTTGAAAATCAACTCAACAGCTGGCGACCCAAACGTATGCAGTGTATGCACGTGTTTGTCCCAAGGCTTGATCGAGGTCACATACCCCATGAGCCTGTTTCAACAGGCCGAGTCATGACGACATATCTAACAGTAGCACACAATTCTCCGTCAAATCTGCAGACCGGTTCAATAGCTGCATTTGCGGCACTTCCAATGAGGAAGACAGGAATGCTACATTAAAGTGAATAATTTAACGACATCTGATTACAGGGACGTTTAAATCCTCCATGGTCTGGTTACTAATTTGACGTCATGCATACTAAAACTATTACTAGAAACGATCGGTAGCCCGTAACAAGGAAAAAAGGAATTCCAATTCCACTATCAGGGAACTGGACTTAAGTATTGCGGAAGGTTGGCATCAGCTGTGAATGCTTGGCTCTCTAGAGACGTACAATGGAAGGCCTACAGAAACAGTCCCAAATCTTAGTATCCATCTATATCCCAGCACAAGGCCAGACAAAACCTAGATAATCCGAAAACATTTATCAATGTGGAATAGTGAGCGAGGCTCCCCCTATATTATGCATTTTAACAGATAGTAGCAAATGGGATAAAGCTGCGCTCGCAGTGGACCATCAGCCGATCTTGAGCAGTACCACGTCAGCTCGTAAAGACGATCCTACAGAATGGCTCATCGAAATGCAGGAGGTAGATTCTCGCTGCGATGGAAAACTAGCATTCTTATTTGCCTTGCGGGGATCGAAGCAGAGGAATGTCTATGGGAACGATTAACGAAATGAGGGAAAATTTTAGTGGAATTAGAATTACCTCACTACTTACTGTTATAAATACGTCTTCAGGAATAAGGGGGAGTACAACGTAGGTCTAGGCAAGGGGAAAATCTTGCATTAACAATGAGACAAACCTCCGTTCACCCTCTCCAGGACACTCACGACCCATGATAATTCGCATTGATGTGACGATTTGCTGACACACTGGAGCGGGCATTGTGCCACCGTAAATGGAGCTGTATGACTGAGTGCGCACGTAGTCAATGAGGCGCGCCGAACCGGCTAAGTAGCCACCGGCCGAGCCAAAGCTCTTCGTGAAGGTGCCCATGGCGATGTCGATGTCAGCCGGATCCAAACCGAAGTAGTCCACTACACCACGACCTCGCGGTCCCAGTGCTCCTATGCTGTGTGCCTCATCCACGTAGAGATAGGCCTTGTACTTCTTCTTCAGTGCAATTATCTCCGGCATGTGCGCTATGCTGCCTTCCATACTGCAATCGAAATTATGAAAATAAAGCATTTTGCAGATCTAGGTGGAGCACACCCTCTGGTATGACATCAACAATCTTCTTTTGGGGTGTAAAATATGTTCTTCGTTGGTTTATCATGACCAGTTGCACCAACTCGTGTCGTAAACAGTTTGGTTAAGTTGGAAACGATACATCTAATGCAGGATGTTCCCAGTCTAAAGAGGTTCATTGTGTTGTGCTTAAACAATGGTTACCTTGATTAGTTTGGTAGTGCAGGCGTGAAGTACATATCACAATCGCAAAATCTTGTGCCTATTGTGTTCCACCTCTTCCCTATAACTCCTATAACTCATGCACAGTGTAGAAGGTGTAACAAAATCTTACTGAAGTAACGCTCTTCTGCTAACTAAGGAGCAATAGTTGCCATTTTCGAGCACCTCGTAAGTCCTGCAATTAAACTGTGTGATATAAGGGCAGAGGACTGAAATGTTTGCTATTCCTTTCGAAGACAAGAAGGATGCCCTCTCTTCTGCAGACCCAACCCCTCTGCAAATACTTGAACTAGGTGGAAATGGTCCAAGTTGTTTTAGTAATTTTTATTTCATTACAAGGACTTCTTTTCAAAATGTCAACCTCATATTGTTAATCTGGAAAAAAAGGAACAACGGGAAGATATTTAAGCATCTACTGCCACAGGTGGGAAAGATACCAGCCAAACAGTGAATTTCACCATCTACTTATCGCCAGAAGATGCAGAATCAAGTAAATATACTCATCATAATTCATTTCTGAAGGTTAACAGTTTTAAGTTACATAGTAGAATTTAATAGATTGGCCAGAAGTTCTGCCTTTTAAAGTTGTTTCAAGCATTCCACTGGGGTTGGAATAGGGACCAAATCTTCCCCAACCAAAGCTGATTTACTTCAATTCTAAAACTAGTGCACTTCTGATCCGGAGATATTCATCCCCGACTTAGATTTCCCCTTGCCCCCCGCGATACTGTATGGACTTACAGTTCCTGCTTGTTCAACACTTTTAACGCCAGTCAATTTGCTTACTAAATTAGCACTAATGCTTCCAAATAGGAACGCAACGAACTAAGACCAAAGCACAAACTAGGCACTTGGCATCAACATCTGAGCGCGTACTCACTGCCTCGTAGATTAGGGCGGTTACGATCTTGTGAGCGATTTTAGCACTAACACTTCCACTCAGTAGGGATTGGAGATGGATAAAACAGACAGCAGCCTATATGTATGCCTCAATTTCAACTAAATTGGCTAATGACCAGCAGAAAATCAAAATGGGGCTCAACAGCCCCTGCCAACTCACCTATAGATGCCCTCCACAATTATAAAAATGCGGGAGAATGGCCTTCGGCTTCGAGGACGTCCATAGACCACAGCATCGGCCAGAAGTCGTTCCAGATCTTGCATGTCATTGTGCTTGAAGCGTCGAATTGTGGCACCAGAGAGACGACAGCCCAAAATCAGACTGGTGTGATTCAATTCATCGCTGATTATGCAAGAATTCTTTATTTAAAAATAAAACAGGAAAGGCATTATCATACCACCAATGGAGAACAAATAAATTCACAACCATTTGCTAAAAACATGTCTAAACTACGCATTACATGTATCGAAGATAGCGACATGACCTACTGCTTGTGTGGTCAAACAGGTGTCGGTGATAGTGAAAATGTGCAAGATAAAACACGACTTTAGTGGTAAACGTATGCATAAAATGATGGGGAAGAGCCGATATAAAACATAAATTGACCAGAAATGAGAAGAGGCAAAGGTAGGGCGTTAGTTAAAAAAACACAGAATAGAGTCTAAAATGACGGTTCATTTTGCCAAAAACCCTCTGTAACGATGTCAAAAACACCAGACTTATAATAGGCTGAGAAAAACATATGAAAAATTGATGAGAAATACACAACATTACTGAATGACTTACTGCTGGTCTCAATGAATTCTCCACTTGTCAAGTAAGAGTGTGTTTTAGGTGCTAGGGCACTCAGAGCCACAAAGGTATGCAACCTTGACGGAGAGATTGATTTTTTTCTTGGCATCTACCCATGGTACTCAGAATCCCTCTCCTATTCCACCTCGGCATTATTCTCTGCGGATGTTCTTCATTGGCGCATATATGCCTCAAGCCTTGTGCCACACACAGCACCTAAACACACACCTACATGCACACACGTATGCACGTAAAGTGGGACCACTCTGAGTGCTCACGCCCACTCACCTCTGCACAAAATATCGATTGCTTACTAGTGTGTGCAACTAACTTCTAGTGCACAGAGAAAATAATTAAGGACTTAGCACCGTCTCTTTTTTACGAGTAAGGAAGTTTTCATCGACAAGATAATCCCACGAAATACCGATTAATTGCTGTATGCCAGTTCAGTGCAGTTTCACTAATTACCTCCCAAATACTACAAATGATGTCCTCTACATGTATGTCAACCAGTGGGGAGGAGGAAGTGATGGTAGTTAATAATGTACTTACAGTGCATCCCATGATTCAAATAACAATGGTATTCTACTTCTGATCAATCAACGGGATTGCCAAGCATTTTAGTACTTTCTTTTTACTCAGCCACATTTGATTAAAATTGACATAGATTGTAAGAAATAAAGGGCATTATATCATTTAGCTCTTTAAGCAATTTGTTTGAAGGGTGTAAAACAAAATGAACGAACCTTGTCAAATATGCAAGGCATGTTGAGAGCGTTTGTGGCGAATCCCATCCCGAAAACAATTGCAGCTTCTTGACCGACAAATTCAGCAACAAGTTTTTCCAATTCTTCATGAACAGCCAGCGTACCAACCTCTAGTCGGGAGCTGGCTACGCCAAGTCCATACTTTTCAATTGATTTCACGTCAGCTTCAATACATGGGCCAGATGGTTCTGCAAATCCGAGGTAGTTATAGGACCCAAAGTTTAACACTTTAGTAGTGGTGTTTGTCATCCTGAAAAAGGTAAACAACATGTTATAGTCAAAGAGCTTTGCCTTGAAACAAGCAGCGTAGTTTGCTTAGAATGACTTGCTCAAATGTCCAACAACTATCAGATGAAACGCGATCCATGAGAACCATCTCCGGTCCAGGAGTGGAACAAATGGGCCGGTTCCAACAGTCCCGAGCGCGACGGTAGATATTTCTTGTATAAAAAGCTTCATAGTCCGAGTAGAGGGGTACAAACGATCTAGTAACTTCTTTCTCTTTGGCAGCTGGGTCGTTAAGAAGCCCATGTTTCCGCAAAAAATCTTGTAGTCGTCCCAAAAGGTTAAGTATCAAAAATGACATGTAGGTCAAAACGGCATTCTTGAGGGAGATTTCTTCAAAACTTTCATAAAACGATTCTCCAGTGCGGGGCTTAGCAAATTTAGTTATTTTTGTGGATGAAACCATAATGATGAGCAGTACTGATTAGCCTTCGAAATTAACGCGCATACACAGAGCGGACTAGGCCAGGCGCGTCTCCTTTATCCAATAGATTCGAAGGTTATAGTTTATCCCTTCTGTTAGGTGGTTAATACAAACAATGTGATTAAAAGTGTTTAACTTGTGTGATTTTAGCTAATCGACCAAAAAACATTATAAAAAATAATTAAATAATTTTAAAATCTATTTACTTTTAAATTAATTAAGTTTAGCCAGCATACCATTAGCCCATGGACTCTACCTAGTTAGTATTTTGGCCTTTTACTGTTTAGGTAGTATGCAGCTCTTATAACTAATCGTGAATCAGGTACCAAAGGATTCAAAGATATGTTGCTGTTATTTTTCCACCTGAGGTTAAGCATGCATGTTTAAATAAAAATGTGTAACGCACTGAAACTTCTATAAAGGCAAAACACGAAGAAATACTTAAGCAAAATATATACATTGTCGGCACACAGAAGAGATGGGCGGATACTTTCCTGGCCCGTAAGCCATAATGCCCAGCTAAAGCACAAATGAGAAGACATAAATTCCTCCGAAACCTAGCAAAGAGTAAAGCAGGAAATAAGGTTTTAACTGGCCCCATCTTTTCCTGAACTTCATCTTCGGGACACATTTTGGTCAGCCTCCTATGTTAACAACCATTACCTTGTCAATGCTGCGCGATTAACTCATGAAATACATACCTCACTCACTGGATCTAACATTTTTCCTATTTGAAGACTGCATTGGGGAAGGCGAATGTACTGGAAATCTCATACGTCCTTCGCTAGTCATTTAGCATAGAAAGGAGATAAAATTAATTTCGTATAGATAGGATTTTACATCAGCTCTGCCTTGCTACTCTGTTCTCACTAAGCTGCCTTCCAGCCATACTTTTGTGGATTCTATCCAGCTAGCAGAGGAGTGGAGGTCATCCTGGGTATAAAAACCGTAAGCTGCTCCATAATGAAGATTTCCAGATAGCTCACGATTAGCGTCGCCTCAGCTGGTAATAGGTTTCCTAAAGAATACAAGATTAGAGTAGGTGCTGAGGGCAGATGCCATTTTCAACCCTTCTTTCACTAGTCATCGCATCTCCCATTCACTGTGTACACCCTTCTTCCGCCAGGTTAAGTTTTAGCATTCTCTAAGGTAAATCGAGGCAGTTATTCTTTTTGACTGGGTTTGCTTTTCTCTGGCACTTATGCAGCAAATCAAGTACGTCATCTAACTGTTCTCCCACCCATTTATCCACCTTCTTTATCTGTCTCTTTGCCTATCATCTGCTAACCTCTCTACTCCTCCATTTTCCATCTATCTACCCATCCATCTGTCATCTGTTTGTCAGTTTACTTTCCATCATCTACCGACAAAATCAGTGAATCTGGTCCAATGCTTATCCCTCCATTGAATATGATCAAACATAGCCGTTTAAGCATCGGCTTACTGACGTTATTTACTGTAGATCAAGGAAGTTGTGGGCATATACTAGAGGGAGTGAATGAGTAGCAGCAATAGTGCTTCAGTTCAAACACTTCTGTGAGAAAGCGTCCATTTCAAAGACCACACGCGTCGAACACGCGGCTCCGGCTTCGCGCAGAGTCGGTTCCACTTCCCGATTGAAACACTCCACGAGATCAATGGTCGGCCACTGATAGATCACCACGTACATGGGTCTACATACACCTCGGAAGCGCATTATATCCGTCGTTCCGGCAATAATCAGACCTCCCTTGTCGTGCACCATATTTTCCACCGTGTTCATATACTTGGTAAAGTTAACTCCGTTTTTCACATCGTAAAAGTCCACCTGCAGGAAGGGATAGTCTGTGTGTGGAAAAAAATGTACGGTTTGCTTAGCTTCTACTAGAATGACCAAAAAAACACTCTCATAACAATAAAATGAACCATCTAAATTTAGTGGACTAAATTATCTACCTGTCATGTGTCTAATTGGGTTGCAGAGGGGAATGATGTACATTTCCGGGCATCCCATCCAGTTTGCTTCGCGTATCTGCGTCTTGGACTGCATGCACCTCAGTGCCTCCTCATGGTCATCAAAGCAGAGGGCTGCTACGCCCGAATTCATCGGGAAGGAGCCTTCTACACATCGCACACACTTTGACAGTCCCAGATACTCCCCATTGCCATAAGCCTTAAAAATTGGCAAGTTTATAATCATTTCATTCCGAAAGGCGCCATAGTAGTTCTCGGCCAGATTGAAGATAATCAGCACCATCGTTTGGGAGGTGTTTTTCGGTATATTCTAACAAAGAAAATTATTGCGAAAACATTACTACTAACTAAATATCAGCAAATATGCTCGACCACCTCTTACCTATTGGGCATTGTTAAGTTGACGAGTTTCACACAGTACCAACTACTAAATAATTTAAGCTGCTCTTACCTTAGCCTAATGCATTACAGTATTAATCGCAAATCTGGATCTAGAAAAAGGAATCAGTTGAAGCTAGCCCAAGATTACTATAAGTTTCAAGTTGAAAGACCAGGATTTGAAGATCCAGCTAGGTAACAAGAAGTAGATAAAAATTAACTTAATCGTGGAGAAACAGAGGTGCTACTTACAAAGTTGGTGCCACAATACATGCTTCTTGAGCCCGCCCATGCTGTTGAATTGGAGGCATTGCTATCGCCTGTAATGATTGTCTCCTCTTTCGAGATTTTGCTGACATTCCTGACCTCCATTGTGCGGCGTCCTTGTAGCGTCTACTACAGCAGTCGATTGTCAGTTACCGCTGCCCCGGATGGTATTGATTGTCTGTCATGTGACTTCCATGTTGAGTTATCGCATAGGTGTGCATGCAGCAAAATCATAAAAAATAGGGTACATCCCTTGCTTAATATGGCAAGTAGCCATGCACGATAAAAGTAAAAGTGGGGTGTTATGTAGAGTAACTTGTGGTTATTTCTATAAGCTACCGGAAGTCTACAAGTTTCCGTTGTATTAAGAATGTAGCTCTTCTTTTGCATGACTTTGAACCCTGTTATTCAAAAGAGAACTGAAGTTGAAGTAATTATAATTGAACACATAAAAATTAGAAGGATGAACTCTATAACTCCTCTAAATGTACCTACCTAATTGTTACTCGTAGGTTTATAACATAATAATGTTTAAACTGACAATATCAGTACCAAGAGCTAGACTTTACTCTTGCGGTTTTCTGCTTTTTGCAGAGTTGTAAATATCACTTTTAAAATCCCATCGCCATTATAAATATTGAGAATTTCAGTTAGAGTCCAACAAATAGGAGCACTGAAATGAGCGGTATTGGACCTTTGTGACTGCTAATAACATACACCAGCTATAGAAAGAATAATAATTTAGAATCCAAATGTATCTGGTTAATGAAGCAATGTGAAATTGAACCAGAAGACGACTGATCTACCAAGTTAGGTACCAATTTTATTTGACTGTTATAAATTCGGTTAATAAAAAACACATGCCGAATTCTAAAAAAATTATCAACTAATTTAAAGCATCATCACGAATTCCGTTATCCATACTATTTTAAGAATATTACGCTAATCCCTGGCCGTTAATATAAATATGTTTTTATTCCATGAATATCTAATGCCTATTACTGACATCTTTGGCTTTTTAATAACGTCTATCAATGTCATGTGGTCTTTAATCTAATACAATTGAAAGTTACGACGCCGCGGACTTTTGAATAGGCGAAACTGTAAAATTGATGAAAAGTCGTGTTAGAAACTTATCTTCAGTAAAGTTGCCACATGTCTTTGGGAATGGTACTCATGACCATAATTAATAATGATTTCAGGCAGTAGATCAACCACTTCTTTAACAAGTAATAAAAGTACTCTTAGTCCAAACTTTGCAAAAATGGTAAATGTGAAGATAAACGAAAACTGCCTAAGGTATGATGTTACCACAGAGTTCAAGCGTTATTTGGCAAAATTAAGCAGTCAGCCTCAAGGTATTTCTGAAGCACGTTTGAACTCAAATGAACTTGATATTTCAAGTTCAAATATTGATGACGAGAACATCAAACGTGTTTGTAACTGCAATAGAATAACCTGCATAAAAGCCAAAAACAATAATATCAACTTTGGTATGTGGCGCGCACTCATTTACTTTTATTCCAATAGCAAGTGTCTCGGTTTTCTCCAATCTTATCAGCCTTGATCTCTCATTAAATGAACTCCGTAATCTTCATGTTCCACCAGGCTCATTTTCGAAAATTCAGGTTTGTTTTTTTTTTGTTCCGTTAGCATTTTTATGCATTTCAGTAAGTAGTAGTTGCTGTTTGTACGTATCGACCAGCATTTTTTCCTATCTCATATTCTGTGTTATGATCCGCTTTTTGAGTATTTTTATGATTTGTGAGTTGTGGTTACTTACGTTTGTCACGATTTACAGTAGAAATTGGATCTCTCATATAACTTTTTGCCACCTGCGGCACTCGTGGATCTAGCCAACCTTCAATGTCTTCGATCACTCTTCCTATCCGGTAACGAGTTATCTTCTATTCCCACAAAATTGAGGCAAGTCATATATGCGTATTTCGCTATAAATTTCCTTCGTAAAGTTGTATTAAACTTTTTGTTTGCATTTTTCCAAAAACAGATTTAGTACACTAGAGGAGCTAAATCTTGACGACAACAAACTTCACGCAGCCGCTGATATTGCAGCTTTGGCTCAACTTCCGAAGTTCGCTCTTTAATGCGCTATCTTTTTTCATGTTTTTTTACTGCTTTAATAGTCTTTTATTTAACGATGCAGTTTACAAAGACTCAGCTTAGCCAATAATGAGTTCACTTCATTTCCCATTCTTCGAGTGGAAGCTAAGCTTTCGCCTTCAAAATCCAAGCAAGTTTCCAAGTTAAAGCTAAATATTTTGCGTACTTTTCTCTTGATAAGTTATGCAACTCCTATTTTAGAAAACTGACTGCGGTAAAGAATCAAGGTAAAATGAGTCCAGGGTCTCCTGCTATACTTCTTTAGCTCGACATAAAACATCAGATTTCCAAATAGTTTTTGATGACATTGTGACGCTCAAAGATGTCGAAAGATTCATCACTTCTTACAGTCCAAAGCACCAACTTTTAAATTGTTCCAGACAATCTACCCTTCAAAAAACTAATCTTCGAAAGATGTTAGTCCTTTTCCATGGAGTCGAATTAAAAATTGTGATTTTTCTATAGATCACCGTATCGGAACCCCCTCAAGCCATACATGAAAACTCCGATTAAAACAAATTCTTTAAATCCCCCCCTTATCTTTCCCAAACTTATGCATTTAGATATGGCTGAAAATATGGTAACTCCGTGGTCAGTTCTATTCACTTTATTTGCATAGCTTAATTTTGAAGAAGCCATTATTCCTGTGGTCGTTTGCCCAAATTTGAAAGTTCTAAGCCTTTGTGGTAATCCCTTTATCGAAGAATTTCCCAAAGCTCCGCCAAAGATTCAAACCATCCTGGTAGAGCAGCATGGAATTTCTGTCGAGTGTGAACGCTCCAAATTTTGGTGTTCCAAGTACTCAAGATTAGGACCTACTAAGCTGGATCGCCAAAGACGAGACCAGTTACCGCCTTTAACAACTGCAGTAAAAAACGTGGATGGAGAATTTGAGGAGAAATCGACTGTTGACGTCAGTGAATTTCCAGACTCTGGTGAACATCCATTGTTTTCGCAGCATGAACTGAGTATCGAGTATAGTGAACTACCTATAGGTAAGTAATTCGTCAATTATCCCAATGCTACTTAAGTACTACTTAAATAAAACTGGAGATAACCTTAAATACTTCTTTGTGCAGGCATTCAGAAATGTTTAAAGGAATTTAAGTCATTGGAAATCGACTTAAAAGAATCGGAAATAAGTAAGAGAGAAGAAGATAACGATCCATCTACAATTGCGGGTAGTAACTTGGAGCCAGAATGGATAAGATGCGTCGGTAATAAAGACGAGGCAAGAATGCAATAATCTTTCTTGATTGCTTCTCTTAGGGCGAATGTGTTGAGAGTGAGGTAAAAGTGGACAATCCTTTCCTCAACGGAGTTCCAGAGCCTTCTACTACCGATTTACCTCAGTGCAAAACTCAAGAGGTATGAAGTTTTTAGCTGATGGACGAAAGCTAACTTTGCCTTACTTCAAATTTAACAGAAGTCTTCAGGAGCATGGCGAAATTCAGGCTCTCAAAATGAAGAGGATAGTTTCGGATCGCCAGCTCAGGTTCATTTCTGTACCTATAGGACCAGAAGTGTCACCGCAAAACCTCTTCATTGCTGTGTACTTGTTTCAGACAAAACGGAGTGGAAGACGCAGGCGGTCACAGAGGGCTGTTCGTCATTCCTTCTTCAAATCTAATGGCGCAAATGGATTGCAGAGACCCAAGATTTCTTCTCTATACAGAATGGTAGGGGAAAAAATAAGCCACATTCTTCATACTTAGGTAGTCTTTTTAAAGTTGACTTTTTTATTTTCCTATTGTAGCTTCAAGAAGCCATCGAGAATCCGAGAGACTCTATCGAATAAGCCGTCCCGTTTAATTCACTTTGACAGCGTGCTCTTTAATAAAGTAGGCTGGAAGGAAAAATTGTGTTTTTTCAAGAGTTGAAAGAAGGAATGCAACTGTCAAACAAGGCATTCATCTGGCTAAAGCACTTTAATCTCTTTGTCCTCTTTACCTTAACTGTCCCAATAAGTCTCGCTGCATTTCCAAAACTAGAAGTGCGTAAGGTAATGTGTTGGACGACGTCCCAGGACTCGACATCCCTACCGTAGTCAACGCTGCGGTGCGTTTTTACGAATAAAGTCGTCATGGAGGAAAGACCTGCATTGTGGGCCACTGCCTCACACTAAGCAATGGAGGGAATTCTACTATGGGCAAGTCCAAGCACCCAACGCAATGAGACTCATTGTGGGCGGGCGTGGAACTAGTTCACGTTACAACACCTTCCAAGTTGGCACAGATACCACGAATCTGCACCAACACCAATGTCGTCTACAAACCCACAGGAGTGGATTAGGCCCGCCAAAGTCAACAGATGAGAAAGTTGAGGAATGAAAGCTTTTATTTACCATGAAATAAAAAAAGCAGATGGAGCAATACAAGGCTTGCAAAACACATGCTAAAAGTGTGTTTAACTGAACTGTTGGAGGTGTGGCAAGAATTTATCGCCTAAATGACGGGCAGTAGGCGTCCATTTCAAAGATGACCCGAGTTGAACAGGCGGATCCGGACTCGCGCAAGATTGGTGTAGCCTCGCGATTAAAGGATTCAACCTGATCAAGGTGCATCCACTGGTAGATCACTAGGTACATGGGTCTTCGCAATCCGCGGAATCGCATCACCTCCCTCGTTCCGGCAATTATCAGACCATCTTTGGCATGCACCATGTTCTCCAGGGTGTTTAGGTATCGGACAAAATTCACGCCATTCTTCACATCGTACATGTCTATTTGCAGGTATTGGTAGTCTGAATATGTGGAAACAAAGGAAAGTTAATTCAGAAGTTTTCCCATCACATATCTTATCTAGTTTGAGCGTTCAGACTAATCCGGGACTTTTATTAAAAGCTCTATGGCGGCGAAGTGGGAAGTATTTCTGGCACGCATACTAATAGGCTTGTTCAATCCTCACATCTTTGATCGGTATGACAGGGAATAGCTTGTATGATACGACCCTCAGTTGTCCAATAGTAAGACGGGGAAAAAGTGTCCCCTACACAGGATCTCCTATCTGTGTTTCTAGTAGTGACGATCTCGATCGTGGTGTTATATGCACAACCCAAAGCGGAGAAATTGACTCTTAGCAAAGCATGACTTGGCCATCGTGAAAGCACTCGGCAACTCGACCTTTCCATTTGAGTATTCAAAACAGTGATCTGCAAATATTTCCCACTGGCAAAGTCAGCGTGCCTCCGCAGCCAAGGCAAATTCCCCCTTATCAGTACAGAATGCTTGAAAACTTTGCTGACTTAGTGAATGCATAAAAGGTAACATGCAAATATTATAAACTTTGGAGAGCTCTTCCCTGATTTTAATTAGTCCCAATTTGGTTTTAAAGTCCCTCATGTCAGGGGTATAAATGAAACATCTAATGACAAGTTTGTCGGTACTCACCACCTAAGTACTGAACTGGATTGCACAGTGGAACGATGTACACCTCAGGTAGACCCATCCAACCGGCCTCTCGCATCTGTGTCTTTGACTCCAAACATTTTAGCGCTTGCTCTTTACAATCAAAGCAAATAGCAGCAACACCGGAGTTCTTGGGGAACCAGCCCTCAACGCAACGGAGACACTTGGATATTCCCAAATACTCCCCATTGCCATAGGCTCTGAAGATTGGTCTATTTATAACCATTTCATTGTGAAATGCACCATAGTGATTCTCCGACAGGTTGAAGATTATCAGTACCATAGCCTGACAGGTGTTTCTCGGTATATCCTAGCACAAAAAATTGGTTTTGTATAAGCGCATCACTACTTGCTATTTATCAGTAAAGCTCTGTGTCTACCTCCGGCACAATGTTGTAAAACTCACAATTTTTAATGGGTTGCACATGTCCATGGAGGTATCCCATCCTAGTGAATTAGAGGCATTGTCTTCCTTTGTTTTCTCGCCATTCCTCGCATCCATGGCCGGTAGTTCCTTCACACTTAGTCAACCCTCTCTAAGTAATCCTTTGTCCAGACCTCCGCGCATTATTGATCTCCTGTCACATGACTTTCATGACCTACTTCACCAACTTTTCCTCAATTTCCATTTTTGTTAGCATTTCCTTGGCAGTGTTAAGGCCAGTTTTGTGTCGATTGGTTGTTGGGACTACTTAAAGTAATTAATTTCAATGTCGAAGAGGTAAAATCTTCTCACACTTAATTTTAACCACAGCAAACACACAAGCAGGCACATGAACGTACACACCTGAAGGACATGATACAACAGGCTTCGTTAAAGATTCTGCTTCTTCTTTTTTATACATATCCCTTGCTCTGCTCATCTTCATCACACTTCTCTTAGGCTGTCCTGAGGTGATACGTGGACTCGTTGAGAGAGCGAGAGAGAGCATTGTATCGCCTCCTCATGACAAACGCAGATGATGGCCCTACTAACTTGACATGACCTCAGAGATTACTTATTGGTGTGGCATATGTAGATCTCCAAAAATCTAAGTGATTTAGTCTTAACTTGTTTAACTACCGATCAAGGGATGGTGGGGCGCAACCCAGTCTTGTTCACCTGTCGTGACAATGTGACTTCGACTTGAGAGGTGTAACCAAATTAGTCAACGCATTTCAAGAAGTTCTAAAAAGGGTAAATTTTTTAACAGTACATAGGAATTCAGCATTTTCACGCCCATCAACGTTCAACACAAGGGTATCCACAGCCCACTAATTCAACAACTATCAAAATCCAAGGAGTGCATACAGCCTTAGATAAGATATGATCTGCACTCTATTTTATTCTTTTTAACCCAACCAATCTAACTACAACACGATCCGGTGGAAATGGATATCATAATCTGATTAAAAAACCGTGTCACATATGTGTGACACTAGAAGATAACAGATTCATAACAGTAGTGCATCCGCGATTATTTACCTCAGTGAAGTATACAGCCCAAATTCACTTACTTTTCTGATTTTATGGTTTAGCCTCTTCTTTGCCTTTATCATCAATAGAAGGGGTTTGTCTATATGGCAGGAAATTGTAACTTGAATCACATCTAATTTAGCGTTCTCTTGTTTGTAGATGGAGGTTTTTGGTCCCAAAATGAGCACAAAAGACGTTTTTGATTGTCGACTTAAAAATACGTCTTCCTTCCGTGATGTGGTATCAACTCAATAAAGTTCGAGATTTTTTTTCATTTTCGTATAAATGTGACTTCTCTTACCGCTGATATTTGTTTACCCTCGGTCAAAACGTATGGGTCTTGATAGAACACATTTGAAAGTATGCAAAAAAAACTAGGTGTACTGTTGACAGGAGTGATGTGAGCCGAAATTCAGAACGACAAAACCTGTAGCACTGCCTCTAAAACACAGGCAGCCAAATTTGCACCCTCCTTCCCTGACCCGCTCTTCTACTCCAGGTCAGAGGAATATGTCTTGTGCTGGAGTAACGTGGGATTTTGCGAACAGTTAAAGGCCATTGGGGCGGCTGTTGTTTGTCCCCTCCTCCTGCTTGGGGGATTGATGATCCCTTGGCGATCACAAGGGTTATTTCAACCTTCTCGCCCACCATCTAAAAGGGTGTGTTTAAACAAACAATTGCCGTTGGCCATTCGCGACATAATTTCAATCTTTTTCACAAAAAAGTGGGTCCTTTTCAAAGTTCATTATTAGCTATTTATGGTGTAATTTTATTTCTATAAATACTCATGCAACTGGCTTCGCAGATTCTTCATCCCTTTTTGTTGCATCAGCACCATCAAAAAACACAAACTGTCAGAAAAAGTGCTTTGTCCTTCCTTAAACTGTTTCAGCATTACTTTTTACACTGAAAAGGGAAATCTCTTGGGTTAGTGCAGCATGATTATTCCCTTTGACAGATGTCTCTTGATATAATGCATACCTAATGAGCAGAGCCAGTAAAATAAAATAAAGCAGCCTTTTGTCCACACATGAATGTATCGGGTTCATCATCCTTCCGCACTGCCTCAACTAATAGGGCGGCGTCAGCATAGCAACGGTGCTAGCTGGAAGGTACTATGGCTAATTTGGCCAGAAATCAAAGCCTCCAAAGTCGCATCTACTCCCCCCTGTTTGTGGTAGCACGTGTTAGAAGGTGAAGGAGAAGAGATTGAAGCACAAAGGCACGTGCACACTTGCGTGCATACGCCGCGCTTTCATCTTTGCGGCTGACAAAGATCTGTGAGTTGAGAAGACTCGTGGGAAAGCTGCTCAGTTGTTTTGTATTTTGACAAGCGTGTCTCTTTCTGATTAAAAACAACAGCAACAACCTTTACATTTTGGCAATCGTAGATGTAGTAGTTGAGCTCCCTAAGTAGTAGTTAGCCGAAAAGCCAGTGTCTCCCAGGTAAACTTCATCTTTATGCCATTGTGCCTTATTAGAAGGTATGGGTGTCTTGATTAATGATTTTAGGGGTCATGAATACGTTAAAATTTTGAATGTCGCTTCGACTTTGATAGATGGTCTTGCCCTTGAAAATGAACCAATCATAGAGGACGTCTGATGACAAGGTGAAGGTACGAAAAACAAACGCGGTTCCGTACACATGAGGTACTGCAATTTATAAGAGTTGGATGAATTTTTTGCTTCTTCTCTCAGTAAATGTGGACCGATAAAATGTTCCTTCAAAGTCAATCCTTCTATCTTGCCGATAATGGTATTAAGGCGAACCTCATCATCTCTTAGAAATGTGAAAAATGAATGCGTTTTTAGTCTTCCTAATCTTTTCACTCTTCTGGATTCTGTTTTTTAATTATTTTTCTATACAATTTGCTTGGCCTTAAGGCAACTCCACCAACACTAATGAGATGTTTTATCAAGCATTACCGAGGTGAGTGAACTGGCTACTCCTCAAGTATCTAAACATCCCCATACCAACAGCATCACATATCAAACCCATCTGATCCGCCTACTTGGCACAGCTTGATGGCGAAGGCACAGCAAGTATGTTTGACCTGGAGCCTTAGGGCAGAAAACTATGACGTCACGAATATGTGACGCTGTTGACGTATATTGGTAAACAATTATCCTAAGTCACTATTTACAGGCATCATCACTTTTCTCGATTCACTCACCTGCAAGAGGCATGAAAATGTAAACTTTTTTCATCTCGTTTTATTTCAGTGGGCACTTTGGGGTGGACTTATGAGCACTCAATGCTAATCGTCTTGACACCTCAAAATTCCTAGAATAAAAGGTGGTTAAGAGAGCCCTACCCCTAGGTATAATTGAGTTTTGGGCATTAGAAGGTAACTTATAAAAGGTACGACAACAAAGGAGCTCCGTTGGGACAATGGGCTCTACTGCTAATTGTCTATTCCATCGCAAGGAATATAATGGCTTTCTCCAATGCTTTAAAGAAGGCTTAGCTTTGATGCGCGATGGGAAAACTCACTGAAGTAATCCCTGGAAGTAACGAAGACGTAATTCACAGGGCTTTCCCACCTTCACCGATGTAATAATTCTTTGTACAAGCTACTTCTAAACTTGTTTATTCACTCTGATTGCATGGTAATTTTGCCTCTGATCACCCTCTTCACCACATCCTTGCTACCAAAGCAAAATTATTTACTCCTCCTTTTGTTGTGTAGCATTGTCAAAGGTTAGTAGGGGGCTGCAATAACTTGGAACATGATTCGCTCAAAGGTAGGCCAACGGGAAGTCACAATCTGAGGTCTAAATGTCATTTGGTAGTGTTCACATGCCACGTGACAACCATGATCTTTAAATAACTCACATGACACTGTTTAGACAGGTTGAAAGAGAGGCTTCATGAATAATGACCTCAGTGCTGAAAGGTGTCAATCTAACTTTCAATCTCCTCCCCAAATATCAAGAACTAAGGCCGAGAGAAAAGCGTCATAACGCAGAATATGTAACCATAATTAAACCTCAACCAAAACCACGACCCAAGAGTAGGAAAAAAACTAGAAAATGCAGTAAAAGCATGCCCCCTCTTCCCAGAAGCCCAGAAGCAGTTAACTCGAATCATCACAATCCCGATGAAGGACAATTACCTCAAACAGACCGCCGTGGTGCTGCAAAGATCCGATCAACTAATTACACTAATGTGGAGTGTCCTTCCTGTCAGAGAATTTATACAAGAAGATCCTTGGACTTTCATCTGAAGGTTTGTACCATGCGCCAAGCGGAGGAGGTAAAACGACGGAATGCAATTAAATCCGCAATTGAGAGACAGAAACGGGGGCCTTCCAGACCACCTGGCAAGCTCTGCTACATCTGTGGTCGTCGTTACACCAAGAGTTCGTGGGAGTGGCATGAACCGAAGTGCCAGGAGCAGTGGGACACATGGAACAGTCGCCTTCCCAAAGATCTTCAACATCGGGGTGGACTCTTGAAACCTAACACAGACGACGAAGCACTAGCAGCTGTTGTAGAACGAGAAAAAGCCGCAGGAAACCCTAAATTTAACAAAAAAGACGCTCTTGAAAAAATTTTGCTTGAAGCGAGTCGTATCAATGCTTTACCCGTGTAGGAAGAAGGCCATCCAATTTACTCACCAGTAAAACACCATCCTTCCCCTCCATGATACAGATAGTTCACAGCATTCCAGGAAAAATCTCCTTCTAAGTGGTAATGCAATTTGGCCGGCTAGTTTGGTGCCAGGAGGTGTGAAAATACCGTTAGATCTCAAAGCTCTGGCAGCTCTTTTTCCCATGGAGCATTCTCAAATACAGTATAGCGTGCAGTGGATCCTTTCTCTTCTGTACAAATCGTGCGAACCCGACCAGGAGGGGACTAATTAAGCCCACCATTAGGACCCGCCTGAGTGATGTAGACGAAGACTTCCCCTTGATGATGTTTGCCAATGCGACAACTGTTGCTAATGCCTTACTGCTTTCTCCCACCGAGTTTAATACTTTGTAATGTTGAGGAGGGAGTTTAAATGGATAACTTCAGTAAGGGATTGACAGAAGGACTTCAAAAGGCTCTTCAGTAGATTTTACACTTCACTTTGGCTATTTGAGCTGATCCGCATCCCTGCTGCGGTTTTTTAACCTAGTAGACTGTGCTTCTAAGTCGGTAGCGTATGAATTCTCAATTTTTCGGTACAAAAAACCATAAAATTTAGGACAAAGGCAATGTTTCTTTTTAATGTCGCACGCAGATTTCAAGTGTACAAAAATTTTGTGCACTAAGACGACTTGTTTTAACTGGTAGAGAACAGTAAATTCTGTGCATTATGTAGCACATGGATTCCCACTTCAATTGAACCCTCATGCCAAGAGGATGGTCTTTGTGACTGACTACTTTAGGCAGCGAGGTGAACCCAGCTGCCAAGTCGTTCGATTAAAGAGACTTCTGGAAAATAATTCTATTACTTACAAACTTGACTTCTGCCATGTCGCAGGCAATGAAACCCATTAATTCTGCCCTAATAGGAATATCATAAGATTTTTGAATGTACGGCAGCCTACAGTGTGTTTCGACTAGACCAAGAGTGAGAATATTGTCAAAGAGG